CGTGATTCTATATAAATCAAACTTCTGCCATGTGAAATTCATCACAAAAAGGGGCACTGATAGTTATGCTTTTTCGGCAATAAAGTTGGCTAAACACAGACATACGCGAATTGATGTGCTTAATTACATCGTAGAACATGGTATTGTGCATATTGTGAGTAAATAAAACCCCGTTTTGCAACTGGGAACTGTGATATTATATCTTCAGGGCAGAAAATCCAGCAAGGACTTTATCCCAACAGGTATATCTGGTGTAAGCAAAATTTTGTGTTACCGTAGACGGATAGTTGACTGCATGGAGTCGGCAATGTTATAGCATTGGTCTGAGAGATGATTAGCCCGTAACCAAGCGTATTTGAATATCACAAACTGTCTACTTGTTTAACGTCTTCACCCGGCCTCTTCACCACAAGGGACCAAACATTGGTCACGGCAGTACATGTGATGCATGCAGTTGACAATCCGACATGTTTTTGTCACCATTGAGAGCAAAAACATTGACAACAATCATGTTTTCTTAGGACAAAGTTTTGTTTTAAAAAAGGCAAAGACAAAGGACGCCGCGGTAAATTGCTCTAAGATTCCTCGTAAATAGCATCGTCTGCTGATATATTATATTTTCAACATTTTTTGCTCAGTGCAATTTTCAACTATCGTTGTTTTGTGAAATAAAACAGATCCATATGAATGTGTATTTGCTACGTGTCGTTTATGTGTTAAGCCCCGAGGCATGTAAAATGTCTGTTTCTCCCCGATACACCTGGCGTTAAATTCGGAAAACAAATCACTCATATTCATGAAGTTGCAGTCAGCAAATAGTATTTACCGGTATATATGCACAGTCCAAAGCGTTTTGCTGCTTTTTTTGTAATCAAATAGTAGTAGTAGTAGTAGTACTAGTGTTGCAATTATGAGAACATACATACATATATATACATGTACTTGTTAGTATGGAAGGAATAAAGTGACAATTTTAGAACTTTCACAATTTTCCGAGCCCAAAATACTGTACATGTAGGTGTCATGGTGGATGGTACTACATATCGTGAAAAATTTACTAGCATGTCCGACGCGGAGACCCAAGATACAGTAAAAAAAAAAAAAGGAGGACTCCGACTCCCGCTAAAAGAACTTTTATTTGTCAGGTATATCTTATTGAACATATTAACATAAACGTCTTAAGAAATCGACATGTTCAAGTCTGGTTCTCACACCATACCTTTTTGTGTGTTTCTCTAATATTACCCTACGACCTTGAACTCTTGAGAGTATGAATGGCATTTATTCAACCCGGTTAAGGTAGGGCTATATGTATGATAACGTGACCGACATGTGACATTTGTGGTGTAAAAACTGTGTGCTGTGTATTTACATTAACTATCCAATAGCTTACCAATAGCTGAAGGAACAAAAGCCCTTTAATTCAATTTTAAATCCTTATTACAGCCGCTTAGTCCTTGAAGTAAATGGACAATGAGTTAACCAGGCTTTTCATGATGTAAGATGCGTAAGCGTATACTTTTTTTACAATGGGTGTTTTCTTTTCTTTGCGGGATCGGTTGAAATGTATATTAATGATGACACAAAATATACATCAATTCAGCTGCTTGAATTTATAGATTCGCAGCATTCGCTTTTGCCCCTGCCAGATATTATTTATTTATTTGCATATTCTACAATGTGTCTCTTTTTCTAGAATTTTTTCCAAAAAAACATTTATACAGATTTAACATGTTTGTATAGACCACCTAATCTGGAGGCAGGAATTTTGGAACACTTGATCACTAAAAAAATGAGTAAATGGATTTTTAAAGGGCGCGGCTCAACTAATAGTACAATATGGTAGCCATTTAAAATTTCATTGTTGTGCTGTTTAATTTGAGACGAAAACAGCACCGTGAAAACGTCCTGTATGGCGTAAAGCAATAGTTATAATTTCATATATTTTATGCAAATAATTCCAAATTATATTGAAACGAATATAATGTTAGGAAGTTGCGATAATACCATATTACTTTCAAAATTTTAACGAGTAAATTGATTTTTGTCGCGTTTATATCCGAGCTTTTGGCTAACGTCTGAACTGATGAAAAAAAAATACAAACAGAGAGAGCATATCGAAACCCACATAAACAGAATTAAATTTCTATAGTTTCTAAACAAGTGGTAAAAACTTGGTTTAAATAATTAATAGATTTATTTACTGAAATGGCACGACCATAGTGCGTTCAGTTATATACTTTTAAGTTTAAAAACGTTTGCCTGAGAATATTTGCATCCGAGTATTTTTCGGAAGAGGATGCTTGTTCTACGCTGCCCGATATTTTTCTTATTGTTCTCATGAGCATTTACAGCATATCAATCTGTCGATGTCTATGTAACAGAGATGCAGTTCCAAATACCCTGCGGAATGTCTTCTGTGAGCTGCTCTTTTCTAAGTGACAACATTTACAGTGGCACAGTAACAGGTGTATTAGTCCTACAGTGACCGTAGGATGAGTAATGCTTTGCTACACTATTGATTCGTTGCAGTCACTGTCATTTGTGCCGAGCTCATTGTTGGCTATGTCTTCCCTTAACTCAGATATTTCCTTGCGTAATGTCTCCCTGGTCCGTGCTCCTCTTCTCCAGATGACAACAATCACCACCACCAGCACCACAAACCCTATTGCCCACGTGATTGTTGATGCCACACCTTCTGTTCTATACGACCTGATATTCTGAGCATTTTTGGCGATACCCTTAGACTCAGATCGCATTCTGCTGAATAGGGGGAATCCTAGAGAAAATAAATGATAATGAATACAACCGGTTACCAGACATTTGTTACTATCAGTATAATTAAATAAATAGGATATTCAAGAAAAAACAACAAATTCAACGAACCAGAGATGTGATAGGAATATTTATTCACTTATTTATTATTTCATTATTATTTATTGACTCTAATGTGGTTTGTAAATGACAATTTTAGTACTGATCTGCGACATGTATTTACAGGTAGGTTCAATTAAGTGTTCAAAATGAAGATAACTTTGTTCTTTGATGTAAAATTTTCAAACGGGGTATCACAATTATCTTCATTTAATAATAATAATAATAATAAATTTATTTATTTATTTAAGTTTGAAATCCATTAAAATGTTCAGTAGACTTGTTTACTTTTAAAAACAAAGACTTAAGAACACAATTACCAAAATATATAAAAAATTAAGAAATATTAAAATCTCATTAAAACTTCATTAAGATATTACAATAAATCATATCACTTTACATATCTACTAAAACTTGCCGAAAATATTTGTTCCTTGTGTGGTCTGGCCAAAGTTTTGTCCCAGGTTAATTCCAAGGTTTTGCCCGACGGTTTGTCCCAGGTTTAGTCCAAAGTTTTGTCCGAAGAACCCAGTGTTAAAGAGAGACGAAACCGTTGCGGCTATTAAAAAAAAAAAAAAAAAAAAAAAAAAAAAACCGTATAATAAGTTGAATGTAAATGTGTCCTTTAACTTTACCTGTAACTCTCAATATTATTCCTCATTTTTGATCTGCGTAATACATCTAACTCCGTAAAACAAAAAGGGGGCATAAAATTAAAGAATAATGTTTCTACTTATACCCTGTATTCAATAGATCGGAAATGAACAATCAACTAAGGAAAGTTGTTAATGATGTCTGTAATACGTTGTCAATTAAACAGCCAAAAATCCGTTTATATTTATGCAGTTTATCATGCGTGAAGTAACACCTTTTATCTCAAATAAACTCACCAGCATTTTGGATCCCTAATAAATTGAGCAGTGCATTGTTTTGTGCAAAACCCGTGAAAATTCCGGCCCCAACGGTAAACCCAGAACCTCCGGTAGTTCCGGAACCTCCGGTCGTCCCAAAACCCGCTCCGGTTCCAGTCGGTGTAAAGCCGGTCGTTTGACTCGCCGGTGGCATCATAAGTATCATTCCTAATGACAAATAAAGTTTCGGATTAAGGTTTACCGTTGTAGTTTGGCGTCTCTGTGCGTGTGTGTGTGTGTGTGTGCGCGCGTGTGTGTGCAGGCCCGTAGCCAGGGGGGTTCGGGGGGTTCGAAAAAAACACCCTTTTTGCTGGAAAAAGGTCCACTCTGGGTAAAAGGCGTTCGTAAGAANGAATGAACAATCAACTAAGGAAAGTTGTTAATGATGTCTGTAATACGTTGTCAATTAAACAGCCAAAAATCCGTTTATATTTATGCAGTTTATCATGCGTGAAGTAACACCTTTTATCTCAAATAAACTCACCAGCATTTTGGATCCCTAATAAATTGAGCAGTGCATTGTTTTGTGCAAAACCCGTGAAAATTCCGGCCCCAACGGTAAACCCAGAACCTCCGGTAGTTCCGGAACCTCCGGTCGTCCCAAAACCCGCTCCGGTTCCAGTCGGTGTAAAGCCGGTCGTTTGACTCGCCGGTGGCATCATAAGTATCATTCCTAATGACAAATAAAGTTTCGGATTAAGGTTTACCGTTGTAGTTTGGCGTCTCTGTGCGTGTGTGTGTGTGTGTGTGCGCGCGTGTGTGTGCAGGCCCGTAGCCAGGGGGGTTCGGGGGGTTCGAAAAAAACACCCTTTTTGCTGGAAAAAGGTCCACTCTGGGTAAAAGGCGTTCGTAAGAACCCCCCTTTTTGCTGGAAAAAGGTCCACTCTGGGTAAAATTTGACCTAGGTACATGGGGATTATATGGTAAAAGGTCCACTTTTTCAGAAAAAGACCCCCCCCCCCTTTGAAATTGCTTGCTACGTGCCTGGTGTGTGTCATGGTTAAGCTATGCCCATGATTGTGTGCGTGCGTGTGTCTGTGGAAGATAAAAAGAAAAAGAGAGAAAAGCACTCGAAGAGCGCTGATATCAGCTAATGAAGTTCAGCCCCCATCATTATTATTTATTTATTTATTCAATTCTGATTAATAAACATTTACTCAGCTCAAGTCTCGTTAATATTATTTAAATAATAAATTGTTTCAAGGATCAATTCTTAAAAACAAAATTTAAGCGTTTGTTACTTCGTAACCCCCCGAACTTTTTTCCATAATTTTGCTTAAGAGAAACAGACAAGCGGACCCAAAACCATAACCTTCTTTGAGGAGGTAATGATTTAAAGTTGCCAAGATTTTCCTACCTGGAGACCCCTTGGAACCCTTCATGCCCATGTTTCCCTTCATACCCATGTTTCCTTTCATTCCTAAAATAAATGAATGATAAAGCAAGATGATATAGGCATTTTGTATCCAGTAATTATCCAGAACAATAAAGTTCAAAAACGTACAATTTAATTATTTTTGAAACCCTTTTAACTTGTACAACATATACAGAAATCTGTGATGTTTTGTAATTAAAGCCGTAACTGTGTTAATGTAGTCTTTAAAAATCAGAACATTCACTGATAGTAGTGCCATGTATCTGGTCTAGACTGGATATTATCTAGAGACTACACACGAAACGAAGACAATTCATAATAAGACGCGAGTCGCAGGTGTCCGTATTCATGTGAAACAAAATTTATCTCATAAAAAAATAAGATTTTTTTCTAGTGAAAAAAAAATTTATACGAGTGTATGAAACAACATGCCTCATAAATAAAACATCTGTATTCTCTACAGGAGACTATTCAAAAGACAACGACAAGACTATTTCTGGAAAAGATTAACCACTTAATCCATCCATTAATTACCTGATGACTCTTAGTTTAGGGACGAACACGATCACACACGCACACACAAACACAAGCGTATAGCGTATGATGTATTACGACATTGGTGGTGGTAACATGGAAAGCCGCTGCTGATCAAAATAGATACATGCGCCTAAAATGTGCCACTGTTTCCTTTTATTCATAAGCATGTTCAAGGATCTGTCCTGCATTCTTTGAATCCAATGCTCATATAGTGTTGGTCCTGCTAAATGCAGTATTTTCGCACATGAGTTTCATTTTTCATGTGCTATTTGAACGCGTATATCAATTAATGCAACGTATCCATAACTTTTATCATTCTCCAATCTTACCTTTCATGCCTGCCAATCCGTTTAATCCGGGAATCCCTTGCATTCCCTTTTCTCCCTTTTCTCCCTTTGGCCCACCTGGAAGTCCTTTCATCCCTACAACACCATAGATGTTGACAACATGTACTTGTATGTAATGATAACTTCATTGTTCGTAAGTAATAAAAACACAAATTTATAGTTTATATATACATGTTAATACAAGGTTGGCCTGAGCTACAGAGTAGATGGCAAAGAGGCAACGAAACTCATTCATTCTGTTTTAGAAATGTTGTAACCCTGCGGGTAAATAATGGGCTGTTTTACGTTAGTCGTTGAGAAGGGGTTGCTTTAGTCGTTGAGAAGGAGTTAGATCAGATATAGAAAGCAGAAAAATATTGTACAGGGTGACTTCCTCCTCCACGCCATCCCCAAAATAAGGCGATGAAATTTTCTCTTAAACACTTCAAAGGTCCATCAAGTTTTAAGGAAAGGCGAGAAAGGCGGAAATTTATCTATCAACTACTGGAACACTTTCGTTCTTCGTAATTTCCATGATTTTTTATGGTCACTCATTATTTTTAGCAGAAAATAATTTTTAATCGACTACGGTAACTTAAAACTTGGGGAGCATTCATGTGTAAACTGAAGTGTCAGTCCAGCCCATTTCCTAAAATTTTTAGATTTTACTTTTTATATGTTCCCTTATTATTATTATTATTAATTATTATTATTTTTTTTTTTGGGGGGGGGGGGGGGGGGGGGACAAAAACGCTGTTTCAAATATT